CCATGTTCATCTTAAGACCTATCCGTTGGGAGACACTATTGAGGTCATTGAGCATAGTGCTTAGGTTCTCCAGCGATTCTACCATAAGGACTATATCGTCGGCAAATCGAAGGCGAGTACATCACTCGCCTTCGATTTGCCGACGATATATGTGTTACACCTCTCTGCAGTTGGATAGGTTTCGTACTCTGATTCTGATACTAACTTATAATTAATTCCTATACTTATATAATATAAAAACTGCGGTTGTCAACCCGCCTGTTTATCAAATAACCTATATTCAGCAGTGGACTTGATAGGTAATGATGATGACAATGATGATGATGATCACGTTATAACCTAAAATACTTAAACTTTTTAATGGAAAGTTCACGGCATGTAAACAAAGTGGGAGCTTTCTGCAGGGCTCCGTATCGTTCAGACGTAGACTTCTTCTTGACCATAGGTGTTATGTGAAGTTAAATAAAATTATTCTTTGTATAAGAAATAAGAGCTGCTTTGTGGAGTGTAGCTTGTAGGGCAGCGTGGCGTTATATAGAGATGACTGTTGAGCGAGTGATGAGCGAGTAAAATGTCAGAGGTCGGTCGTGGCGTGTCTTTTATTTTGTTCCTTTAGTTGCACAACTCATGTGGGCGTATGTGAGACACACATGCTCTATTCGACCAATAGGCGGATAGGAAGGAAAGACTGCGGGGTGTGTGTTAAGTGTGATTTATCATTTATTTTACAATTATACATTTGTCACACAATTTATCAACATACAACAATTCTTTATAGGCATACAGACAATAATTAATAAGTATATAACAAACACTATAAAGACATACATCAATTCTTCAAATAAAAGGCAATAAAACATTAATAAGCTTACATACTAGACAGTTGTAAACTTACGTGACTAAAACTTAAATAACTACATAGATTGTATTAAAAGGCTACGATGCATCCAGTCTATGCAAAGTTATGTGATGTGATGATCGCCGTCTAATATAGGTGGCCTCTTCATGTCTTCTATGACTCCCTTCTGTGGCTATGCGACGTCGTAGATCGACCATCCCGTCTTTTCATTATATTTGGAGCGATCGTAGATGGCTGTCATGGGCGACCTTGTTATCTTTACCTTCTTGAATTGAGCCTTCTTGAATAACACTAACTAGAAGCGTTTCAATCTCTCTCATGAATTCAGCCTCGAGTGTGATGTATTTCTTATCATCTCTATTTTTCACTCGACTGGGATGTTGGGCGACATGTCGCGGATTATTTGTCGATTTCCTCCGGTCGGAAACTTATTTTTATTTCTTCTGGTCCTCTTGTATTAGGATGTAGCTGCGGGTTTTCGGCAAAGTGTTATAAATTGTAGCACTATTTCCATGGCTCACAATAAACGTTCCCATTTCGAAAACTTATTTGGATCGGGGACGGCTTTTCCATGATGGGAGCATGACGCCATTCTGTTATGTTCAAGGGTCGTTCCTCTCCAGTGATTCCGGATGACGTGGATCTTTCGGTCGGCCATGCTGACGATTCCTCATACAAGTATGATGTTGCACGCGTGATTAGAGTTGAAGTTTGATGGTAAGTCCCTCGTGGCGACGTCAGCTGTGTTGAATTTGGTTGCCACACAACACCACATTATTCTGTAAGTTATTTTTTGTCCATGGGAGGACTGCCTTGCTGTCATTCCGTCCAATAGGTGACGGCTTCGGGCTTCACACGATACTCTTGGATCCCATCACGGCTGCTTGAAACTCAAGGCGAAGTATGGACGTCGATTGATGATGAGGATCACGTGTATTGTCTTGTCGGGTGTCGTTGTCCTCCATTAAACTGCCGTTGCGTAGATGCTCTCACTGGGATCGGTGAACACGTGGAGTTGGAGTGAACGAGCCTCGCTGAATCCTAGGTAGCATCTCGGAAAGCTAACCGACTTGAGCCGTTCTAAGTGAATCTATGTAGACCATTGGTTAGGTGAGGTCTTCGTTCAACTCAAGTCAAGAGAAGTCGAAGTCAAGAGAGCTTGAGGTTGAAGCTCAACTGGTTGGTTTTCGGTTTCCAGATTAGTCCGAATATTTTTTCTTCGGTTGCCTTGTTGCCCAGGTTGACTGACTCCGTTAGATCGCGGTCAGGTTCTAATTCTTCTACAACTTCTGGTGCGTTGGAAACCCATTTTCTTAAGTTGAAGTGCGCCATTTCATGACTCTCGCGTACTTCCTTCGATATTCATGTTGCTTCTTCTAAGGACTGAAAACTGTCGAGATAGTCGTCCGTATCGTGGTTTTGGACAACCGCTTCTACGGCTTCTGTATGATATTTTATATGCTCTCTAGCAATCCAGTTCTTGGTGAATATGGCTGTGCAGGGTGATTTGACTGAAGCCGATGGAAGTAGAAAAAATCATTATTAGTCAGACAATTTTTTTCCAGCTCTGCTTGTAGAATAAAATAGAATAGAAAAAACATTTATTCAGCACAGGCAGTTCATACACATGAAAGTAAAAGTGTAATATTTTTGTAATGGAGAAGTACCTGAAGCCATGGTTTTTTGTGGTTTCTTTTCTATTACTTATGTCTTCTCCTTTGTTTCGTAGTGGAATAACGATATTTGATTGAGAAAATATTGAGATAGATCAGGGTAACCCACATCCGCATAATCAATAATCGCATAATAAATATACGTTGAGACTACAGCCACTTGTCTGAAGTTGTACTTCTTGGTATAGATTCTGCAGCTTTTCGGTGAGGTGTCGTAGTAGCTCTGCGTTGATGAGGTAATGGTCTCTCTTCAGTGCTCGAATTGTGACAATACCTTCCATCACTTTGCTTGCGAATATGCAGATATCTCTAAGTGCTACTGTACAGCGTGCTAGTCCTCGTACTTCTCGGTCTCGCCTTGTTCGATTGAAACCGGGCGCCCAAATTGCAGCTCTAGCGCTAGGCTTCATCCTCATAGAACTCTTATTAGTCTTGCTAAGTTTTCAATATCATTGAAGTAGCCTCGAGTTGTTTCGTAGATGGCACGGAATGAAAGCCACTCGTTGTGTACGGCGCTCAAGCTTGGGACTATCATTATAGCTTTCGATGCTGCAAAGGTATGTGACGATAGTGGCATATCCGGCACCGAAGGACCAACGAATGTGCTGGACGAATGATACTCTATGGTAAATGTCGTCGAAGATACTCCTATAGGTTCCGGTGATCGTCTACTGCCGTGTCGTTGGGTGCGGCTAGGGTACTATGAACGGGCGTCCAATCAAAATGCATGAACTCTATATACGGATGGCAAAGCAGTGGCCAGGGGTTCGACGGCTCAACTGTTCGGCGGAAATCCTCTGACAATCGGTTGTCGACTACGGTCGTTGACTATGGTTAATCACTACGGTTGTTCACTGCGTTTGTTCACTATCGGTTATTCCCTAAGTTGTTCACCGTCGGTCGTTCACGATTTTATTCAGATGATTCCTTTAATTAACTATTTTTCCCAGTTGTTCGGTAGTGATTTTCTACAATTTTACCTATCCTTGTCGTCTGTGAGTGCATTACTAAGCCGCAAGTCTCGGGCCTCGGGGCATACCCTTTTACTCGGAATCTCCTCGCAGTACATAACTACATACCGGCCATGGGAGACGTTTCGGCATTGTAGGTACAAGGCAACGATCGGGAGTTTGATTCCTGGTCACTGCAGGTTGGTGTGAAATTTTTTTTATAGGATAGGGCTACAAACGAACACACAGTCCACCTGATTTTAAGTGGTTGCTGTGGCCCGTAGACATCTTTATCTATCCTCGTTTGCAACGTGAGGACTAAGATGGAATGCCTCTTTTCCAGTAAAAAGGGTCTCCGGTTCTCTACACTCACCATATGAAACACAGCAGTGTTAAGCTGCTATTTTACGCTGGTATTCTTTGAGAGTGTGGTCCTTCTCCGGTCGAGCCGACTCACTATACTACTAATATAGGTACAGCATGACTCTACCACGTAATAAAATTGTCTGAGTTAGTCTATCAGTCTTTGTGGGTTGTTACTAGACTCTCTAATTTTTTAGAGAGGAGTTCTCTTGGTATAGATCACCCGTCCAGGGGCCGATCATGTAGGGGTGCTAGGTTGTTTAGGTGTCCGTGTGGCCCGTTGTTAGCGCGGTCAAAAATACCGCGCGCCAGCCGGGCCACAAATTCCTTGATACTCTCCATCTCAAGTTAGTTGCGATGACGTTATTCCAGACGTAGCGACCTGCATCGACGATGGTCCGTAATGATAGATTCGGCTGGACCTGCAGCCGCTACCGCACCATGCAGTAGGAATGCGTACCAGGTCGGAGCAGCATAGGTGATCTTTGATATTATATACAATTTGTAGACCTTCAGTTTGGTTTTTATTGAAAGCTTGGATGCCAATACTGGCCGTAGCATTGCCCGCGCACATCTAGTATTGCGGAAGATGATGTCGACGTGCGCAGTCATGCGTAGCATCCTGTAAATCCGGCATCCAAGGTAGGTCACGGCCTCAATTTAACCGAACCCCGGAGTTGCTTAAGTAGAAGCATTACCGTAAAGTGAGTCACTTGCCATTCCCCGTACTATCCTCCTCATTGTTTACTATTTTCACTATATAATTATTTTTGAGCATAAAAATTATTTTCTATATTTTCGGGTCTCAACGTTACACAATGCCCGATTGTTCTACAGTCTGCCGCGCTCTGATTGTACGGCTTTGTGTTGCACAACAAGGGTTGCCTTACAAATTGTTCTATTAGGTTGTTGTCTTAACTATTACAAACGATACTCTATACCAGGGCTTCCCAAACTTAATTTTACTGTGTCGCCCTTGGGAATTTGCCACTTTTTTGCGACGCCCCTCCTCAGGCCAAAAAATACCTTACCAGTTGTAATTCTAGCCTAGTAACAAGATACCAGAAAAGCTGCAACTAACATTTATAATTTTTATTAAATAATAAGAAAAAAAACAAGGACAAAAATGAAAAGAGATACTTTGTTGGCTGGCTACTAATGAGAAGGATGTGCTTGCTTTTCTGAGCATGGCTTCTCAAAACGTAGCTCAAGTTTTGAAATTCCCACTCTCATCTCTTTTTCTACATTTATTTTCGATCTGTACTTGTTTTCTATTACTGCAGCTGCAGAAAAGCCTGTTTCGCACAAGTACGATGTCGTAAATGGTAATAGAACCCTCAATGCTGCATAGCTGATTGCACGATATTCATGAGAAACAGCTCCAAAATTCAAGCAGTTTATCTTCCTCGAATTGGAGCTTAAGGCTGGAGTCACAGGACAATTCTATTAATTGTTCTTCTTCCTTTGTCGAAAGTGTTGATGGTGATGTCGACTGTCAGTTGATACAAGGAGGGAGGTCGACGCCGGTGCCGGCTGGCCACCCGTGATCGACAGAATAGAATAAGAATGAGCACGGCGCTCATTCAACTCGGTCGGATCGACACGGCCAATCTGTAGACGCCTCACGACGCCCCTGATATAAAGCCGCACAGTTACGGAAGCCCTAGTTTATAGAATTTAATTATTTAGGCTCAAAGTAATAAAACTTCAAAACAAGCATGTTTTTATTCCAAAGAAGTCGCAGGCACAGCTAGTTCTTATTGTATGTAGGTAAGCAACATTTCAAATTATAAATATGAGGTGGTGGATTCCCTTACGCCACCACAACACGTCAATTACGAGATAAGGTCTAAGCGTTTATAACTGCTACCATCAGGTAAACTGTTAACTATAGTATGCGTTGCTATGAGGTTAGCTTGTTGTTTGTTGTTTTATCACAGTCCACTGCTACCATTAGTGAACTGTTACAGTCAGTCTAATAGTGGTAATTAGAACTTACTAGAATTCTAGTTAATTTATTATGTATGAAAGCAAACAAGCTATCAGTCCACCTAATGATAGTACTTAAAAGGTACATTTCTAGTTTGTTATTGTTAGTTAAACAAAGGAACTAACAGCTAGTAGTAATTGCAACAATTCTATGTTCTGTGTTGCATCTCTTAGATGACAGCAATCAACTTTAAAGGAAGAAGAAAAAATAAGCTTCAAATTCTTTGTCCAATACCTTACAGACCTGTAAAAGATATAACAGTGGGTACATTGGTGTTCAGCGCTTAATAGGATAGGGTGTAAAAACCCGTGAAAAAACTGATAAAATATTATACTTTTAATGTCAGCATTTCCAAGAAGGAAATCACCAAACTAAAAATGCACCGTGCCTCCATTTGCGACAATAGACCATACTCGTACATGTCACTTATATTAGAATAGAATAGAATTTATATTTAGAATATAACATTTTTATTCAAAATAGATTACATGTAATTCTTACTAAAAGTCAATTTTTATTTTTACCAATGGTTCGTTAAAAAACCTCTGTCCTGGGAATAAGCAGCAAGAAACCCGCGAGACTTTTAATATAATATTTATACAATTATTATGAAAACAGCATGGTAGCGATCACTTCATTCCTAGGGGTTATTGTCAATCATGTAGCGTCTATGATACTGCATATGGTAGCGCCACGACGAGCGAACGTCTATAATAATAATCTGTATCTACGGAACAAAAATAGAACAAAAAACATTTTCGAAGCTTTAAAATTATATGATATAGTAGCCAGTATTAGAAAAAAATAGGGCTTAGAGATTTGACACGACAACGATTATGTTTATCAAATGTTTTTTATTCCATTAAATCCACTGCTCTCAAATCTGGGGGCACGGCAGTCGAGCAAAAAAGCGGCACGGTCGTACCATCCTTTTCTCGAAGCAGTTCAGGCCATTTTCGAAACCCTATAACTTCGTTGTGGATAAAAATAGAAGCCTGAATTTTTAGTAACCAAGTAGGCATTATAAAAGTAAAAGTATAAACTCGGTATATTTTAAATATCATCAAATTTGAACAAGTAGTTTAAGAATTAGAGCTAGTCAAAGTTTCTTAATTTTGTCACTCACTGACTGACCGATCATCAAAACTCTAAGGCACTTCTAGCAGACATAGAAGCTTTAAATTTGGAATACAACTATTGTTTGGTATATAAATCAAGGAAAATTTAAAATATCTTGCAATTTCGGTCCAGTTTTCGAGAAACACCAACTGCATTTAAATATATAGGATTACAAAGTTACATTTGCAGTGAATGAATCAGTGTACCTGTATAATATAATGGAATAATAGGTGTAGATAGGTACGTAGATATAACTATCTACAAAAAGAAATGAGATGCCATCAAAAACATAAGTTGTAAAAAAACCAAGTCTCGCAACTCGGTTATTCTACCGTAAAAAGTTGTGAGATCTATGTAATACCAAGTCGGTTAATTTATTCAGTCCCTACTTAAGGGTCCTTCCCTCTTAAGTTATAACGTAATTAACTAACCTAACAACATCTTATAGTGACCATATCAATATTAAAAATCTTTTATATTTTAAATAAATAAATTGACTGGGTTTTTTTTCGAACCAGTGGTAAAATAAAAAATTACTTTCAATAAGAATTACACACGTGATCTATATTGAATAAAAAATTATTCTATTCTATTCTAAAAAAAATATTATATTCTGACTTGCACTAAACAATCTAATTTAATATAATATGTATTACTTAAGAGATACATTGCGTTTTCATGCGATGGCCAAGTCAATCTATTTATTTAAAACATAAAAGATTTTTAATATTGATATGGTCACTATAAGATGTTGTTAGGTTAGCTAATTACTTACTAACTTATGAGAGAAGGACCCTTAAGTAGGGACTGAATAAATAAACCGATTTGGTATTACATGGATCTCACAACTTTTTACGGTAGAAGAACCGAGTTGCGAGACTTGTTTTTTTTACAAGTTATGTTTTTGATGGCATAACTTTTTATTTCATAGTTCCATATGTCACCAAAAAGATTTATTTTAATTATGCCACATATTAATTAAATGTCAACTCTGGTTTGTTTGCGCAGTTAGCCTTTTGGCTTTTATAGGTAAAAAAAAAATTTTATTATTCTGCATCGTTACTCAGTCCCGCCCCTCGTGACCATGGGTGCTGTAAAGTACTCAAAACGTCAGGAATATAAAATTAGTTAATATACGCGATTCAATCCGTAAAACTACTTTTATTTAAATTACTTAACGATGTTCCATACCTATCGGTGGGGTTAGTTTCGAGTACATACTTGTAATTAACCGCACCAATAACATCGTCAACACCACACATCAATAATTTAGAGTTTCTAGATTTTTTCTTTCGTGTACACCTAATGATTTACTTCGATGCTGATTTCATATTTTTAAGTAACCTAGAAGTGCTCTAGGTTTTTGATGAGTGAGTCAGAGAATAATAAAAATGAAACTGCTCAGACTATAATAACTAAAGACTATAATAGGTTTGTTAATGAATTCTAGGTACATATTAGGTATGAAAAATTATAAATGTAATTTGTGTATGTGGGTGTGTGTGTGTGTGTGTGTGTGTTTGTGTGTGTGTGTGTGTGTGTGTGTGTGTGTGTGTGTGTGTGTGTGTGTGTGTGTGTGTGTCTAATAGTTTAATATAATAATTATGGAATTTCGAAAGTAATAATTATGGAGTTTCGAAAGTGGCTACAAATGTTTCGTAATATTCGTGTAACGTACAGGCACGTCACCCTTTTCTTTTCTAAACTTGGCTGACTTTCCGCCCCTGTTTGCCTAAATTTCAATAGTATTATATTCCAATGTATTAATGAACGTTGCTAAAATTTATATATTTAACCTACTTATATTTTATCTTAATTCAAATTTGAACTAGAAATATTATAGTGAAAAAAGAGAATGGTAAAATGTTTCACTTCAGGAACAAACAAATTTATAAAATGTCCACGTCCGTATTGAATTAATATACTCCATACTGAGTACGAACTATTGAGTACATACAATCGTTTCTAAAATTCAAATTGAGTTTCAAACTTTGTTTTGTGCATTTCGCAATGTGTGGCGATTCAACAGAGACCATGCAACTTCATTGCTTGCTTTTAACAGGTGTCAAAATGGAAGGATCTCTGAAGTACTGAATTCGACTGCATTTTTTGTATATTTATGCTCGTATGTTAACTTCATCTATGTTACGCGATATCTTTGCCAATTGTTAAACAATTAATTATTATTGTTCATTAAATGGACTATACCTCAAGGGCGATACTATTTAATTTAAAAGAAAAATTTCCACCAGTTTCTTTATTTTTCGCAATATCCCTTAAACCTCATAAGCCCAAAACATGTTCTTCTAACGTCTAGTTTACTTTACGATGCGGGCAAGTAAACTAGACGTCTGGACTGGTAACACCACACTTTGACGTAAAATGTTGTCACTTTTACTATAATATTACTTGTATTTATAGGCTATTAAAAGCAGCTATTATTTAAGTTAATCTTAACAACACATTTTCTTTAAGCACAAGAATCTTGTTGAGTTAAACATCCATACAATTTTTATTACAGCTATAATCATATTATGAATCCTACAGTCTTGTATATTATTATTATAAGATAAACCTTCACGCTTAAATTATTATATAATGACCCTGTCCAAAGCAGGAAATAAAGACGTTGTCAGTTCAATCAGGGGAGGTAAACGACGATGCGAGACTGTAACACAGAGGAAGCACATTTCCGCCTACATGCGCTTGCTAGTGGTATATAGGTAATTCCCAAATAAATGAAATAGATGATAGAAAAACAATAGTTGAAGTAATATGATGTAACGTAAGTGTGAGTACATTATACGTGGTAGAGCCATGCTGCAGCTATATTATGGTTGTAGCACGAATGGGTCGGCTCGACCGGAAAAGGACCACGCTCTCACAGAATACCAGCGTCAAATAGCAGCTTAACGCTGCTGTGTTTCGTATTGTGAGTGTAGAGAACCGGAGACCCTTTTTACTGGACACGAGGCATTCCATCTTAGTCCTCACGGGTGACAACGCATCTGCATTTTCATTCGTAATCGACGATAGGTGTAGATGTCTATGGGCTACAGCAACCACTTACCATCAGGTGGACTGTGTGCTCGTTTGTCATCCTTATCCTATAAAAAAAAATTATACTTGAATGCACCCATGTGTAAAAAAAACTTGCAAATCTCCTTGCTACTGATAATATTATGCTAAAATTTTCTGGGCAGATATAGTTGAAAATAAATAGTACATTAAATGCATTTTTAAATGTATCTTTACCGCTAGTTACGTTAATACGCTTTTCGCGTAGCACTAAATAGCGGTAGTAACTAGCGTAGCAATAACTAATATCAAGAGTATTTATATTATTATTATAGTATTTATTTTTTTTATCTCTTCGTAAAATGTGCGGCGTTACTATGGCCGACCGAAAGCGAAACGAAGAGATTCGCAATATGGCAGGTTTGAAAGATGACCTTATCACAAAAATTGATAAGGGCGTGCTTCGGTGGTTTGGGCACGTTGAGCGAATGAGTGAAGACCGAATGGTGAAGAAAATATATAGCGCGAAAGTTAATATTAAAAGGTGTCGAGGTAGACCGAGACTAACTTTCGAAGACCATGTGAGCAAATTGCTCGAAGAGGGTAGGGTCAAGAGTACTCGGATACCTAGACGTGCATGTATGAAGAAGATAATGAATCTGAAAGAAGCGAAAGAGATATGTAAGGATCGTGACACTTGGCGATCTGTTCTCTCTGGCTACCCCGTCAGGGATTGTGCGTGAAGATAAGTAAGTAAGTAAGTAAGAGTATTTAGGATGTATAGGTGCTAATACTGACAAATTTTTTGAGAATGAATAGAATAGAATATTTTTTAATGAAAATAGAGATTACATATAATTCTTATTAAAAGTAATTTTTCTGTCTCCAAGTGGCAGATTAATTTAATTTGCCACTCGGGGACAGAGTTAAACTTACTAACCTTAGTGCACTAATTTGCGGAAAAAAGCTGTAAAAGTACAGAATGAGATTTTTTTTCTTATAAGTTGTGAACCAATTTCAAATAAGGAGTTTCTAAATTCAACGTGTTTTTAATGTATATTCAGATTTAATTATTAATTTCTATGAAATAGCGTATACTTCAGCGTGGTTCCATAATATTAACTCGTAGATATAATGAAGTCGTAGAATCACTTCAACTGCTATAAGCTGTATAAACTCCATGTGCCTGATAGGCTCACCCGCATCCTCAGAGCCTTTCTTACCAATCGCCACTTCCGCTATCAAATAGAGGGTACTCGCTCTACAAAACGTCCCCTCAAGGTTGGAGCCTGACAGGGCTCCGTCCTCTCCCCAATTCTCTTCAAACTCTTTACGAGTGGATATCCCGAATGACCCCGTAGTGAATAGTGCTCTTTTCGCCGATGACACGGCACTTTACGTCGCCCATTATAGTAAAATAATCCTCACTGAGATGCTCCGAACAGCAGTCAACCGCTTAAGCGACTGGTTCCCCTTATGGAGAATCGAAGTGAATCCTGAAAGTGTACCAATACACTTTCAAACCACCCCTACTCTCAACCGACAAAAAAAAATCCCAAGAAATCCTGAATCCCCCGGCAATCAACGGCCAAATACCTAGGCGTCACATTTGGCCACGGTATGAAATTCGCGAAACACATTCGCAATGTCCGCAATCATACCAAAATCGTCACTAGTCGCCTTTTTTTTTTTTGATAGACATCTACATTTATCCTCAATAAAGAATCAAAATGCAGATGCGTCGTCACCCGTGAGGACAAAGATGGAATGCCTCTTTTCCAGTAAAATGGGTCTCCGGTTCTCTACACTCACCTTACGAAACACTGCAGTGTCAAGCTGCTATTTTACGCAGGTATTCTGTGAGAGCGTGGTCCTTCCCTGGTCGAGCCGACCCATTCGTGCTACAACTATACTACTAATATAGCTGAAGCATGGCTCTACCACGTAAAAAACCTTCATGTTTAAGTTGGAAGAGCCTGTTGTGCTTACTGAGTGCTGGATAGATGAGGACGAAGTAGTACCCTCAATTACAAACTATAAGGCATTCCGTACAAATGAATCAATAAACCAAAATGATGGTATAATTGCTTATGTCATACAGCAGATTGCAGTAGATGCCTACGAACCTGCTCCAAGTGATGGACATTTATTGAACTTAAGCTTCGGTACGGAATACACTATAGTTTGTTCGTATATACCTCCCTGTTTCAATAATCCCACAAACTATTTGGACGCTCTAAATTCTATATTATATAACATAATAGTGATATTAATTTGAATATTTTACCTGACAACCTATCTCGTTACTCATCTGAATACATAGTATGGTCTTATATCATGGTCTGTTGCAATATGTTAATTTACCCACGCATCTGCAATTCCTGGTTCCCCGGGTGTTGCAGTTGATCATGGGCGGCGGTAGTCACTTACCATTAGGTGAGCCGCATGTTCGTTTGCCCCCTCTCCTATAAAAAAAGGAAAAACGCGTGCTTAAATCACTAGGTAAAAAGCATGAAGGCAATCAAAACAATTATTTTTGATGAACTAACCGATCACTTTCCTATATTCTATACGTAAAACGAGCGAAATTCGAAAAGCGAAGCTTAAATAACAAAAAAGTATTATTAGATTTTGATAACATAAACAAAGTTTTAACGCGGTTAAATTGGGTAGATTTATATAACGAACTTAACGTGAATTTAGCGACAAATATTTTAAATAATACTAATACCAAGGAAAGTTATCAATACTAACAGTAAAGTTGTCTCAAATTCGCTTGATTATACATTTACACATTTTTCACAACTTTAATGAGTAAGATTTTCAATTTAAATCTAATTAATTCAAAGGTAAATTTTTTAATTCAGAAGTTTTGATTTTATATAACTTTGTTATAGTATTTATTTAATTTCAAATAAAACATTTACATTATATTCGTAAGCGCCATCTTTTATGACTAGTGTGAAGTGTGAAGACGATTGAATTCATATTTTTACAGTCTTAAGTGCCAATATTCAATAGTAGATGCCACTAGTGATCAAAATTATTGTTACAATATTATTAAACTAATAATTTAAAAAAGTAAAAACCGATTTTAAAGAACTAAAAATATTAAAATAATTTCAAACAATTAATTTAATAGCTTCATTATTGATTATTTTATGTAGAAGATTGCAGAAACTATATTTTATTGTTCATTGAAATCAAATTTTATATTTCGTAATCTAATGGTAATTTTTTAACCTTTTGAATGAAATAAGCAATACAGTACAAACTTGGCAACAACTAGAATGTCGTTTAAAATTTTTTCTTCATATTTAAATAGGACCACTCAAGGTTCCTATTGGGTTTTTTATAGAGTAAGGATGAAAAACGAGCTCACAGTCCACCTGATGGCTGGTGCTGCGGTCAATAAACAGTTGTTGTCAGCCTTGAGGACTAAGATGGAATGCCTCGTTTCCAGTAAAAAGGTTCTTCTATTATCTACACTCACCATACGAAACACAGTAGCCTTAAGCTGCTATTTTATGTTGGTATTCTGTGAGAATAGAATAATTTTTATTCAATATTGATTACAAGTAATTCTTATTGAAAGTTATTTTTTTTACATTATGTACCACTGGTTCGAAAAAAAAACCAATAGTGATTTAAAATAAATAAATAAATACAACATGTAACAAAAACCCTGTGGTTCCCGTTAAGTACGTTATCAGGATCACTATCCAAACGTATAGAAATAACTTTTTTTTAAAAACTCGACCATATTATTTTTAATTTTATTGAAAAAAAACTTAATTTTATGTGGTTTTATTACCTCTTACTGACACTAGCCGATGCGATGCTAAAGCTAAGTAAAGCGGGGTCTTTGACAATCCGCTTACTCCCCGTACAATGCAGAGGTAATAAAACCAAATAGGTACAATTTGCATCCATATATTTATTTAAATAAAATAAAAAAATAATTGTTCGAGTTAATAATAAATAATTGTTTGCGAGATGACTTCATCATTGGAGTCAAATCTTTTTCCACCAAACCATTTCTTCAGGTTTGGGAACAAGAAGTAGTCACTCGGAGCCAAATCTGGAGAATAGGGCGGATGAGGGAGCAATTCATAGCCCAATTCATGGAGTTTTGCCATGGCAACTGCACATGTGTGCACCCTTGCATTGTCTTGGTGGAAAAGAACTTTTTTCTTGGCCAAAAGAGGTCGGTTTTTTTTTTAAATTGTCATTGAATCGGTCCAATAAGTTGGCGTAATATTCTCCATTGATTGTTTTTCCCTTTTGAAGGTAGTCAATGTGGATTATCCCGCGTGCATCCCAAAAAACAGTCGCCATAACTTTATTGGCTGACAAACCCACCTTAGCCTTCTTTGGCGCCGATTCACCCTTAGAAACCCACTGTTTTGACTGTTGTTTGGTCTCTGGTGTGTTGTGATGGATCCATGTTTCGTCCACGGTTACAAAACGGCGCAAAAACTCCTCCATATTGCGATTAAACAACGCCAAACCTTCCTGTGAAGTTGTTACACGATTGCGTTTGTGGTCGACTGTGAGCAAACGCGGCACCCATCTTGCGGAAAGCTTTCTCATGCCCAAGTGATCATTCAAAATTGAAACCACTGAGCCATGCGAGATCCCTACGGCTTCCACAATCTCTTGCACTTTCAATCTTCGGTCGGCCAACACCATATCGTGAATTTTTTTGATTGTTTTGGGTGAAGAGACCTCAACTGGGCGTCCAGGACGTTCGGCATCTTCAGTGCTTGTACGGCCACAACGAAATTCATTAAACCACTTT